GAGCTAACATTACCTGTCTGCACCTCATCTGCTCCTTCAGTATGTTCTGTACACCACAGCAATGATACACATAGTGCTTGCATGGCTATCTGAGAACCCCAGGCAGAAGTGATTGCAAGAGAAATGTAGTTCAAAATTTCATTAAAGAAATGGCTATAATACAATCACAAGCTACTCAATGCACTGGAGGCTGAATGTTGCTAAGGAAAATTATGAACCTCCTCCTGTAAATATCCTTATCTACCCACAACAGAGAAAGAGCCAATAGTGTAGCAACATCTATATTCAGCACAAGGACTAGACAAGAATAAGGTGATCATTAAATAGTTTAAAACAAAAAAGATAGCAAAATGTAATGAGCCTCAACAAACCAAATGAAACAGGGCTAAGAGGCTCTACCAGCTGTCTTGCACTTAGGCACCTCTTAGGAAACCTTTTGTAGGAAATGGAAGGACAATCTGCTCCCCAAGAGCTTCCACACTGAATGGATGATAGATGGGTACCTCCTTTTGCAAAACCCATTTTCTTTATTCTGCACAGTGGATAATTCAGCTCAAGGAAAAGGGGAAAAAAAAAAAAGGGAGAGGGGGAGGTAGAGAAAATGCTTGAATGCTAAAAAAGGCAAATTACTGAGCTAGAAAATCTAGATTAAATCAAGCATTCCTGCAAATGTGTAATAGAGAAACAAATGGCTCCCATCTGGAAGCTCAGAAAATTAACTTGGATCCTGGTTAAGACAACAGCACCAGAGTCTGCTTCCAGAAATGTAAATATCCAGTGTGCATTTGCAATCTGATCACAGGCTAAAAATATAAGAACTTGGAGTGGAAATCTGATTTTGTGTCTACCCTCTTAATGGGAAATAGAACAATAATTCTTTAGACATTACAATCTGGATTCATTTTTCCTGCTTGGACAGATGATGCAAGATGTCTTTGCACTAGGAAAAGTCTTCCAGCTGCTTCTGATTGCAAGGGTACAGCTCATGTGTTGGAGGCCTGACTCTTCTCCATCATATTCCACTTCCCCATCTCATTTTCCATTCTGTGTCTCCTGACTGCTCCACTATACTGCCCTCAGATCTCTGTTTATTTACACCACTTCACTTGATTCTTCTTACTAAGAGTATTCTGGTTCCTTTTTTCCCCAGAGGTTTATCTCTGGTCTTCCAGTAAGAGAAGGGCTCTTGGTCTCAGTGTGCAGATGGAGAACTCAACCACAGGCATGAACCAGGCTCAGGACTGAATTTAGCCCAGAAGAGGATAGTCTTTCTGCCAGTAGACCAGGAAGGCAATTTGGAGCAGAAGCCTGTTTTAGATGCTCCCTGGTGGTGTCTGTCTCCCTCTAGGCTATATAGAGAACCTGAGGGGACCAGCCTTAGACTCTGAGCATCATCCCTGAGGATCTCTTGATGCTACAAAAGGAAGGAAAAGCTATTACAAGTTAATGTCATCCATATGGTCCAAGAAGTTTTAGGGTATTCCACCAGCAGAAGGCATTAATGGAAAAAAAAAGGATGCTTCTCTGTGTATGAGATGTGTCCTTCTGTGATCACAGCAGGCACAGCCAGGAGTTGTAAACTACAAAAAAACCCCACCTCTAGAGACAGGATAATCAGGAAAATCAGTTAATTCCCATATCTGGTTTTAATAAACAGATGGGGGGGTTGGTAAATGTGGACAAAAAGCACACAATACCCAAACTTAGGAGAGCAGAGAGCATATGAGCATTAATAGCAGCAGTCAGATAGGATGTTAGATAATTAGCCAGAATTCACAGATGATGAGTAAGAAACAAGAGCATGGATTAGCATACTGATACCAAGAGAAAGAACACTGCAAGAGAAAACTCAGGTAGAACAATAAGAAGCTCCAAAGGACTGCAGTGGTATGAGGTCAACAACACTGCTTGGAAGAAGGAGGGGTCACGTCACAGGTTATCCTACACCCCAGAGTCTGCATGGCAGAGCAGTGCAGATTGCAAGGTTCACAGCAAGACAGAAGTGCCAACAGGGCTTATCTTACTGTGGGACTGCAACTTCCCAAAATACTCAACTGAAGAACCCACTATTAACGTAAAGAGCTGACCACAGATATTCCTGGAAGCAGAAGACAGCAACTGTAATCCTCCAGCTGCTGAACTAGAAAAGGGCAGTTCTAATTTAGACACTGTAAGTAGCTGAAAGTCCTCAATGAAAGGAACTCTGGAGGCAACTGTAATCATGGAGAGGTGATTTAGGGAAACACAAAAATTCATCTTTTCAATTTCCCATAAGATCTGAGCAACCTAAGGAGCTCAGAAGTGAACAGGACAGAAGTACTCAAGAACACACTTGTAAGAAGCTAAGAAGCTTGTAACATCTGTACGGCAAAGATGAAAAAAGTTGGTACTGCAAAACCCCAAACAAAGTAGGGGAGATATCCAGGGAATGAGTCCCTAAATGGAGAAAAAAAATGTCACCAAAAAAAGGATTTTTAGGGCTAAGCAGAGTGTATGTGAGGAATGGAAAAAAAGAAGGGCTGCTCATCAAAGACAGCTGTGTCAGAGGTCAGGAAATGAAGCGGAAAAGAGAAATTGACAAAGTCAAGCTGAATTAGGTCATACAAATAAAAATAAAGAACAAAGATTAAAATGTTCTTCAATTATACAATTATTTTTTTTTTAAAAAAGTACAGGAAGTGGAAACTAGCAGCACTTGGGTGATGTATCTTAAAAAAAAAAAGCACAAGAAGGGAGAGGAGCTTTAGTTGTTACTACGTCAGGGTGGGGAACAGCAGATGGAAAAAAATTAACCCACAGCACTGACAAAAAACCTGCTCAAACTATTAAACAGCCCATGATCAAGTGTAAACTGAAAGTGTTTCTGTTCAGGGTGGAGGTGCACAGCCTATCCCCAGGGCAAGCACCCAAGAGGAGAGCAATTTGTTTGGGCTGGAGTCCGCTACCTGCTCCCTACATCAACACAAGATTGGGCTTTGCAATTAACACAGCCTCATGAAATCTACTATTTTGAAACATGCTGACCACAACCAGCTCACAGAGAAACTTAAACAAGAGGATGATGAGAGTGTAATGATGTGTGATGATGAGTGTGTAGAAAAATATCTTAAAAATAAGGTTAAATGGCATCAATTGCGATTTGTAGCCTCATCCCACAGCACCTAGAGGCAAAGGTGTTCTTGATGCTCTCCTTACATCCCTTTCCTGACTTCAGCACAGGTCTCCCACACTTGAAGGTTGAGAGTAAGGGAGACTGCTTATTTATAAGCACTGGTCATTTGAATAATTTCTGATGAGGCACCAAAGCTTCCCCACCAAAACAATAATAATTTGTTGCTGGGTTGGAGCAGTCCGTCTCACCTTTACCTATTAAAATTTGGTAGCAAAGGCATTAAGACCAAAACCAAGCTTTGCTCTGAATAACCTTAACATATCACAGATATCTCCCCAGAGCTCACTCCCAAACTTTATCATACTGAGCAAATGGAAACTACATAGTTTATAAGCACTTCATGACTGTTTCTTCCACTCTATGGAATTAAAAAAGGTGATTCATGTACCTGAGAAAGCTGGGACTGTAAAAGTGGGCAGTAGGAGCCATTCGCAAAATTTTCTCGTTCTCCAATGAAAGTGTCATTGTCATAGCACAGAGTTGTCTTTAAGGGTCAAGAAAATATTTCCAAATGCAGACAAAATGTGCTAAAGCTTCATCAAGTCGTGGTCAATCATGCACACAGCAACTGGCTTTGTGCCTGATGTTTATTGAGAGCTAAATGCAAAACCTCCACAACAGAACTGGCATCACACGGGCCAGAGAAGCAAACCTATTATTGTCCAGAATTATTATTGCATTGTATAATTAACCAAAACAACTTAAGGAAAAGGTTAAGAAGCTGTGAGTAACTCCATGACTTACACCCAGCTCCACTGCTGCTCATGGGCTCCAAGCTGGCTCAACGGGGTGTAGAACCAAATGTATCATTGCTATTCAGAGTAATGAGGAACAGCTTCACCTCTGACCTCAGGTCACATTTGAGGACATCTCTTCAAACAACAGGACAATTAAAACCAGAACTAGCACATAGGCATCAACAGATGTTGGAGGGTTCCACTGAGTCAGTTGTCTCAATGCAGCACAATATAGTGTTAAGACTTGTAGCTGTAAAATAGTTAAAAATGTACAAGTTTGTAGAACTCATGAAGAACCAAACAGGAATCTTTTCTGTGGTCTTGCCTTTTCTCTCACAAACTATTGGATTTTACAGTGTCTAGTCACGTCCCCAAATTCAGCTGCAGATTCAGCTCCTTAACTAAGCATGAAAAGTTCTTCCTCTACACAACATAGCCAAAAGCAGAGGCTTGAGAAGAAAACCAGAATATAAGCAGAGATTCCCATTACAATGACTGCTCCAGACAATGAGAAGACCAACATGAATATTTTCACATGCTGTGCACCTACACCACTAGCACAAAGCAAAACACTTGTGACTTCCCATCAACAAAACCTTTCAAGTGCCGTTATTCACCTGGATTAAGCATGCACTTGCACTTAAGTGCACAAATAAATCCAGCCAACCCCTAGATAATTTAAGCATATGCCTCAAATGAAATACAAGACTGGATGTTCTGGCTCAGGGCAGACATCAGATCCTTTCATTGCACACTTTTCAATGCAAGACAGAAGCCCAGTGCTCAAGTAAAGAAAAAAGACTGAAAAAGAAGCAGGCCACACATCACAATTTATTTTATGGCCAGTGTCTCATCATTAAATCTGACTTGCAGGGAAAGAACAGCAGGGAAAAGGCTTAAAAATTGTTTCAAAGACACTACTGCACTGGCTGTCTGGTAGTAGATTAATCATTTAGTTGTCAACCTTGCAATAACTATAATTGTTTTGGAAGACATTCATACTGAAAATTGTAAGCACATATAGTAACAGTGAGTCAAGGCAAATTTAACCCTTTTTCATTTTACATTTGCTTTAGACATGTTTTCTCCAGTACAGAAAGAACCAACTTAAAGGGAAAAAAAACAACCCATCATGTAGATTAGGATTTATTGATTACTGAGACACTAATTCCAGCCCAGCTCTTTGAGATCTCTCCAAGGGGAAAGGAAGAGATGATATTTACAGAAACTGCTTCTAATGAGAAAACCTTAAGGCAAGGAAGGTGAATCTGAGAGCAATGAGTACCAATTTTATAGAATATAAACAACTGTTTGCTCTTGTAATTGCATTTGCTTTTCTAACTACAGTCTCTGTTCTCTACTTTTCTCCAGAAACACCCACTGCTAGGCAAGGATGGCCAAAGCTGGATTACATCACAATTGCATGTAACTATGGGGAAAACATGCTATGATTTGCTTAAGCTCACTTTTTTTCAGGGAAAGCCTTAAGTTTATCAGTTTTAAAAAAAAAAAAAGCTATAAAATCAGTGTCACACAGGAACTATTGCTTTTTCTCCACTGATTTGAATGAATCTGAATGAATTTGAATCACAGTATTGAATAGAGCTCTATGATGAAGGACTATTTTATTACTAAAACAAAACCCAGTGTCCCAAGCAGCTAAGTTTAGAGAGGGCACCAAGGCTAAGAGAAAAAAAAAAAAAAAAAAAAAAAAAAAAAAAAAAAAAAAAAAAAAAAAAAAAAAAAAAGAAAAAGAAGAAAGGAGAAAAGGAGAAAAAGAAAAAACTACTTCTTCCAAGTCTTCTCCTGACAAGACAATTTTGTTGAAGGTAATGATGAAGTCTCCAAGTCTCCTTTGTTGACTGCAGACCTAAGCCAACAGGACCTTCACTTGTTTTTCTGCAGGCAGAAGACACTCACTCCTGCAAAGCTAATCCCTGCTAAACTCCTGTGTAATAGCTACGGGCTGCCAAGGGCACTGAAGCCCCAACATCAGGGGTGAGCAAGGAACCCCGACCACGCGACCGTCACACATTCTCCAACAGCCCTTGGCTCTGCAGTACTGGGGTTGCCTCCATCAGAGGTGAGGTACCTGCAGTTCCTCCACTGCTGAAGGAAGGGAGCTAAAAAATAAACCAAATGAGCATAAAGCAACTACACTTTAAAGAATACTCTGAGCTGAGACACAGCTGGGCTTGCATGCAAAGAGATCTGGGTTTCATGGATAAGCAGCAATGATAGGAGAGTAATCAAGTAAACAGACATTTGCAAAATACAACTTTCAAAAACAATTTGTCAGAAAATGGCAACTTTGGTGGAGTGTAGGAATAGAATGCAATGGACATTTTCACAGCATCACATTTTTATTTAGAGAAGACAACCAAGGGAAAAAAAAATATATTTTGCAGATGGCCTGTCTCCAAGTGGCCCCAATAAAAGCTGCTGTGCCCTGACTCTGGGCCAGCCACATTCCATCTCCAACTGCATAGCCTTCAGAAGCATCAGCAGTAATTAAGAGCCAACACAGTGATAAGCCAGATGTCTATAAAAAAATACATGCTGCACTGATACAGATTGATTTTTTCTTTCACTTTTTGGTGGACCAACATGGTACACTCCTTATAAAGATATTTTTCAAGTCCTTCACAGTTATTCCTCCAGTGTTGACTCACTGAATCCCAGATGGGACTCTTGGCATCACTCATCCCAGCAGGTTCCCAGGACAGCAGCAAAGACTATAGGTGTGGTCACCATGAAGATACTGCTCTTTCAAATTGCCACACAAGTGCCTTAAGCACAGTTCTTGGGTATTCACTGCAATCTCATAAAAAGCATTGAGAAGCACTGATCTAGTCTAACACCTTTTCATTCAAATAATTTCTCCAAGAATTTTGGCACCCAGCCACCACTCTATACCACTTGTTTTCAAAAGATATGCAACCCTGACCAAAAAGCCTCCAGAGGACAAGAACCCCCCATAGCCAGAAACAATTTTCTTCGAACAGTAATGTTCTTCTACTATTAAGCAAGCAAAGGATGCACAGTTTTTGCTGTGGTAGAGGTAGGATAGGGGAATTTGGTCATTTTGTGTCATCTCTCCCTTTGTACCATATATAACTCAGTGCTCGCTTGTGCAGCTCACTGAAAGATTAGTTGGCTCGTTCAGACAGGCAAGGGTAGACTCCTAAGGCGTTTAAGTGATTTGGGGCAGGATGATCATCTGTCTCCTCCCTGCCCACAATTAACTGTTCCATGGCCCATCTGAGCTAGGGCTGAGCATGCTGGGGAAGTGAGAAAAACAGAGGAGCTGAGTTCTTTCTACCAGACTGGGAGTATCTCTTCTCCCTCAGCCTTCAGTGGTTTAAAGGAAGTTGTCACAAAGGGAGCCAGTCCCATTGATGATCCAGGATCTTGCTTATTCAACCTAAAGCTCAGTGCTTCAAGCAGCAGGGAAATTAAACAAGACAAAAAGCTTTGCGGTAGGCTAATAAATCGTTGTGCATCTATGCTCAGATGGTTGTAAGGAGCATGACAAACTTGAAACAGCCTGCAAATTTCTAAAATTAAACAGTTCTTGGTGTTACAGAGGTCAGCCATCTGTTCAAATGTTCATATTTTAGTTAATATAGCTCTTCTTCTTCCACTCTTCTCTCCCAACTCAAACATACTCACTAGGAAGAAGAGAGTGTGATGCCCTAGGAAGAGGAGAATATGGCTGAAGTCACCATAAGTAGACAGCCCTTCTTCTTCCAAGAAAAACTGCCCACAGAAAGCACATTTTTGCTTAGGACAGACTAGGGAGGCAAACAAGAAAAGAACAGTGGTGGAAAGAACAGTGAATTATCCAGGTCTCCCAGGAGCACCAAAGCCTGCAGAGAAACAGGATTTCTGGTGATGTTTGCAAGAGAATCTGTCAGGTTCTGAAAGCTGCACTCAACATCCCTGACTTGTCAGGAGACCTCTGGCCCACCCTCCATCCCATACTTCCTAACCTCTGCTCAGTCTTGCAGGGCTCCAAGAAACATCAGAGAGCACTTCAACATTCAGCTTTAAACTGCCCTCTCATGACAGGGAAAAGTGAAATATGACTGCTCTCAACAGATTTCACATACGTTTGTAGTGGAACTGCGTGCTTTATAAAAAACTGGAATCATCTGGAGTTATTCAGCAAGCAAGGCCAGCCCCAGGCTGAAGCTGAATTTATAGAGTAAGAAGTGAACTCCAAGTTGTATATGGTATGAAGAGATATGATACAAAACAACCAAATTCTGCTGTTTGACATCCTTTCACAGTCTGGGTTATTCTGTCCTCTCCTCTGTTCCTGGTAATAAAAAGGAGGAACAAAAAACCCATGAGTTCTGATAAAGGTAAAGAATGAGAGGATGGGAAGACAGAAGCCAAACAAGCAATTTCTGGAAGAAACCAAACTTGGGCAGGGGGAAAGCAAAAGTTAAAAAGATGTAGAAGTGATTGACTGAGAATAGGTTGGTCCTCTGCAACCATCAACCTGCTTAAAATGTGTCTTCAAGGAAACTGGCCAATGCATTTCAGATATGGATAGCCATTGTCTGTTGGGACATCTGGCTTGAAGGAAAAGGCAAAACATGCATCTTTAAGCCTTTGGCTTTAGGCTGGGAACAATGTCCTCAAAGGAGATAAAGCAACATGATGCTTTATTGTATGTAATTTTAAACTAGCAGGAGTTGGAAGAGGTTATGACAAAGACATTTGGATAAAATTCTGTATAACAGAGATATTGTGCAGGACTACCCACTGGATAAAACACTAAGCTGAATTTAGATGGAGAAAAGTGTCCCCATACTCACTTCTAAGCCCATCTTGGAACAGGTGTGAATCCCTGGTATTGCACCTGGCTTAATTCAGGGGAATAGCAGTGAATGAATTGGTGGAAATATTGCCATTCATTATTTTCTAACACCTCCAGTTTAAAGCCTAGCAAATGCTTCACAGCTTGACCTTTGGGATGAATGGGAAAGCAGTACTACAGCATGAAAACAAAATATTTTCCTGCTTTTTTTTTAAAGTCAATAGGACCTGTATTATTTGAAGAATGGTAGCCTCAGGGAATCTGTTTCACTGCAAAGCCATTTAGGAAGTTGTCATTAGTTTAAAAGCCCATTTTTGTTTAATGACTGCTGTTTCACATACTCCCAATGCCATGCATCGTAACTGTCATCCCTAAACCTTAGATTTATGAAAGCATACAGCAGCAGCATTATACTCAGGGGTCTGCTGATATTCCTATTATTAAAGCACTTCTTACAAGTTTTGACTTGTGTTTAGCCATAACAAACCCTGTGTTCTGCGTGGGTGCTGTCATGGAGGTGGATGCTGCTCAATTCCCCCAGGAGGCCTGGATGTCCAGGCAGAGGCATCATCATCCACAGCTGGGGTTGCAGAGCTTGGGAGAAGAATGTTTGAGATGCAATGAGAAATAAAAGAAACTTTTGCATTTGTTTAGATATTCTTTATTGTCATGGGAAGGATTCAGAAGCGGGGGAAAGCACGATAAGGCCCACTCTCTTACTAAGTAACATTTTGTCCAGGGTGCAGAGAAAATGTGGCTGGAGGGGAACACTACCACAGAGTTGTTAAACATCTGGAAACAACTGAAGGGCCAGATAACCTGCAGAACTGAGCCTTTTTTCCTAGACTCCCAAGCTATGATCTTTAAAACTCACTGATTCAGGGGGACACTCTGAAGTCATTTCCCAGGTACCACACAAAACACATTATTTAGTACCTGCCTGCTGTGAAATTAATTTTGCACCTGCTATCTTGTATCAGACCTCCACTCAGCTGCCACTTTGCAGGTAAATTCACCACCCACTCTTTTTATAGTGGAGAACAGGGACCATTCAATCCTCTTATCTCACTCAGTGACTGAGGAGCTGAGTCTATGAACTCTACGTGGTCAAACTTAAAAAAAATAACCAACCAAAAGAAAAGAAAAAAGCTGTTTTCTTCAGATTCAAAACATTTAGAAAACACATGAAAACTCAGGGAAGGTATTCCTGCCATATTCTGAAACCAGTCAGCACAGATTTTACATTCTCAAGTTTATATTTTCAGGCATTTCTATTAACACACCTATCTACTGTGCTCCTTGTTGCAGTGTTAATATATTTCGTTATCATCCAGAGAGAAGGTATTTTTACCTAGAAAAAAAAATTACTTATAAACAACCTGCCTTAGTGGTTCCAATATAAATTATCAGAACTAGATAATTGACTATTCTGACAAATAGGCAGTCATGGTAAATTACAAGCAATGAGACATGATATACACCCATAAGGACATATGTCTTAATACTGATGTGCCACAAAATAATTTATTGATGGTAAATACCTAAAATGAAACTTCCTCCCCAAATTACAAAAAAATAACATTTTCCTTAATTATTTTGCCTGTGTAATTTTCATTAAATGACAAATTATATTCCCTTTGAAATTCAATGAAGGCCAAATACAATTTTTTTGGTGGAATGAAAAATTCAGTAGTTTAATCTGCTTCATTTTTACTGTAACAGATTTACTACACTCAATTTACTGATGAATTCAATATTGAGATAATGAATTCTCAGGCTTTAGGGTGTAGGATAGCCAGCCAGCAAGCACCTAGCAAAGAAAATCTCTCCCACCACTCCTGCATTAAAGCAGGAACACAGCTACAGCTGGGAGCTACAGCCCAGTCTTCTTAAAGCTCTCCAGCCCTGTCTGCACTTGAACAGAACGAAGTAGTTCAGTTGGAAAAAGACCCAGAGTGCTCATCTAGTCCAGCTGCATATCCCAATGCTTCTTTCCAGACAACAACAAAACCTAGGCAAGGGACTGATGGCCATGTCTGCTTTTCCTGGGAATTCATGTCAGCTCTCTGGAAAGGAACAACTGGGATTTTGACTGCTAAGAGACCAGATTTTATGGTAGCACGATGGTGATATTTATGAATACCAAATGCATAGGGAGAAGGAAACAAAACTGCCTGGCTAAGCTGACACTCTCCTTGTTCACACAAAAAAGTTTGCAACCCATCAACCCCACTGATGCTCTGCTGGAACTTCACCAGAACAC